AACTTACTGTACTTAGGAAATGTTATTAGCAGGCCATTACAAACCTGTTCTAATGATGGCTGATTAAAATTACATAAAAATGTTATTTTAAACTATCTTTCCCCAAGGCCCTAAAGCCAGATAAATTTATTGAAAAAAAATATATATGTGTACAAATGTATTTATATATATATTCAGTTGTAGATGGACACATTCCTTTTTATTTAATCATTTTTATGTGGTGCTGAGAATTGAACCCAGTGCCTCACACATACTACTAACCACAACCCCAGTCCCTCATTGAATCATTGAATTAATCATTGTTTCTTTCCCCCATGTAGGTTCTCTCTCCTAAAAATAGAAAGGTCCACATGGTTTAAATATAAGGTTGCTATTTATCTATTGTACTACTTAAGTGTGTCACTATAAACTTAAGGATGGATAATCACACCCCTGGTTTGAAAACCCCCTAAGGAAACCCCCTTTCTGTGCCTCTGTTAATTAATTTGGCAAAATGATAACATAGGGAGATTAATAGTTCTCATGAATCTTAAGGCTAGGCTAAACCCCTTTCAAGTGTTATTTTGTCAGATTCTTGGAAAACCCCACTAAGCATTCATCAAAAATATAGTTGGCTTCATTGATGCATATGTGCTGTATGTGGTTGTGGTGGGGGTGTGTGCGCTCATGCGTGTGCAAGTGTGCACAGGGTTAGGCTTTACCTTGGCTGAAAGTCTATTCTTTTTCTATCCTCCCAGAATTCTGAGGAAAATAATATGACAAGGGTTCTATTATCTGTGGTCTTTTAGCTCACTTGGCCGGAGCAACCAGTGACTGAGATCACAGTCATAAGGGAACACATTAGCTTCTGGCTACAACCATGGGCTATGGCCCTGACCCAGCCAATGTCCCTGAAAATGCAAGGGGAGAGGCCACTGGAAAAGGTGGCCTCACCACCAGAACACCATGCTCTTTGCAGGGCCTGCCAACCGTGGCTCAGTCCTTTTACCTTTCTCCGCATCTCATTTCTTCCAAAGGCTTTGGTAGACTCATTAACCATGATTTTCACACTCCTGTTCTCCAGGGACCTTTGACCTCTGGTTTTGTTCCAGTGTCCCCTGCCAGGAGAACTGTATCTTTTTATAGCCTGAGCCACTTTAGGATGTGGCTTATAAAATTGAACTGCCCTAAACCTGCCAGAGCCCTCCTGTGCCCGTGATCCCTCTTTTAGCCAATAGCAGTATGGTGTAGACGGAGGAAAGTGAGCTTTGAAGTCAAGTTCAGTGCTGCACTGACCTTCCTACTGATTCCTTAGGTAGCCTTGGTCAAATTATCATCCCCCCCCATCCTCGATTTTTACAAAGGACAAAAATAGAGCTAATAGTATATCTCTTTCAAGGTTGTTTTGAGGTGAAAGGAAGAAATGGATGTAGAGAACATGGAAAGACCATAGCATGAACCCTGGGGTCTTAATCACTCTGTGCCCAGTTTCTTTGTCTATAAAAATGGCACTAGCACAATGACAATATATAACTCAGAATTGTTTAGTGCCCCGTGTGATGTGAGTGGCGGAAAGGCTGGCTGACGTTTTAGCGCAGCAACTGCTGTCAGAACCGCTTGGCACACAGGTGCTCTATGAGACGGAGGCTGCTAGTTGTGGCCCATGGGATTGGAAGAACAACCCCATCCTTGTCATTTGCATTCAGTAGGTATCAGGATTTCAAAGATGGGGAGAGGAGGAGGAGGAAGATGGCACAGCAGCCCAGTTTTCTAATTGTGTATTGGCGTGGCGGGCTTCCATGTTCCACTTTGGCAGAGGGGAGGTTCTGAAAAGCCTGCGCAGTTGCATTCATGTTATATGTTCATAAATAGAAACGTTCTCTGGGAAGTGTTTATTCTAGGGCTTGTTTGCAACTTTAAAAGAAAGCAAAGTTCCTGCCTATCTGTTCCAGAAGGGTGTCTTTAATTAGCCATGATTAAAGAATGAGGTAAGTCCATTTTGTTGAAGTTGGTTCAAAAGTGTTTGTCCACGAGATAATCTCCCTGTGCAACAGACTAAGTCTGCCGTGGCCAGAGAAGTGGACCCTGCTATAATTAGGTATGCCGGTAACCCAGACAGACAGCACAGCTGTTCCCTTCACAAAAATAAATGTGATCCTGATTTATAGACACAACAGGGCCTGGCCTTTAAGGCATTTTTGTGAAAAGTCACCTGTTTTGCTTTATGCCTTATAGTGATTACATTTCATACAACTGATTCCTTCTGATGGTTGCTGTGCTTAGAAAGTAGGCCCAGCCAGCCGCAAAAACTAAGATCTTCTAGAACGTGTTATCCACAGGCTTTTCTCAGATCAGCTTTTGGAGTTCTGTAGATGTAGTTTAATTTTCAAATTCAATAGCTCTCAAGGTTTTTTTTGTACCTGAGAATTAGGGGGAGACCTTATGAGACAACACAGTTTCCTGGGTCTTCTCTCCCTAGACTCCAATTCAGTAGATTCAGGCAAGGCCCATGCATCTGCATGTCTAACCAGCACACAGGGGATGCCAATGCTGCTGGCCCAGAGTGCAGGCTCTGGATTCCCCTGCTTCATCCTCATCTCCTAACACTCTTAACGGCCACTGTGCTGTTGAGTTTCCCAGAAAACAGCCCTGTTGTTTCATGCCTCTGTAACTACGGACATGCTGTCCCATCTGTCAGAGGTATTTGATTCACCCCTTTGATCTGTCTGATTCCAAGTTGTCTGGAAACCTCTTCTGGGAGCCTCCTCGCACCTCTCCACAAGGAGCTCCTTACTGCACAGGCCTCCTTGGTTCCACTTACTTCCCTGTTCTTGAACCCATGCATTCTCTGCCAGTGTCTCCACTAGATCAGTACAAATCCCTGGAACTACCTGACATTTCATAATTCCTTTAAACACTTATTGGATG